ATATACTATATATATTTCCATAACAGCTTTATTGAGCTATAATTTACATATCATACCATTCACCAATTTGAAATGTATTATTCAGTAGTTTTCAGTATATTCACAGATACAAGCAACCATCACCACAAATTTAAAACATTTTCATCACCTCAGAAAGAAAATTTACATTCCTAAACTTTTCATTCCCCATCCCTAGAGGTATAAGCAATCTACTTTTTGTTTCTAGAGATTTGTTTGTTCTGGACATTTCATATAAATGGTATTTATAATATTTGATCTTTTGTGACTGACTTCTTTCACTCAGAATAATGTTTTTAAGGTTCTCATGTAGCATGTACCAGTATTTTATTCCTTTTTATGGTTATATAATATTCCATTGTATGGATACACCACAGTTTTCCTTGGCCTTTTTGCCTTTGTAAAGTAGGCTATAGTCCTGTCTCCCTAGAAAAGCAGAGGAAATGAAGTATTGAAACCATGAGTGCCTTCATGCTTTCTTCCACATGTGGAACTTAATAATTATAACTGCAATAAAATAGTCATCATAATAAAAACATCTCCATGAAGTCTTACCTCATCTCTGTTCTACTAAGTCATAGTTAGTCTTAGAAGCCTCTCTATAGCCTTTTGGTAGTATCATGAAGGAACAGGAATAGGTTTTAGGCAACATTGTATTCCCATCCTATGAACACTTTGTCTAGCATACTGTGGGTGCCCAATAAAGGTTTATGTGGTGGATATTTGAATAGCTGAGCACATAATCTGATGAATAGAAAATCTTGTGGTTCTGATATTCTGTATGGCTATTCTGAATCTATTGCTTGCTTTATTTCACTTGAGAGTACAGTAGATAATATCTAAGTTGAATTTTTAAAATTCTGAGAACAGGTCTAAGTACTGAATAAAGTTTTCAGGAACTAAACATAATTTCTGTGTTGTCTTTCTTGTTTTACTTCTGCCTTAATCATTCTGGACAAAACAATAAGGAAACTGGGAGCAAAACAAACCCTGTTTTTCCTATTCATTCATGCATTAAAAGTTGCACATGCTATAAACTGTTTATGCTTTATTGTAGCACCAAGAAATACTTCATGACTCAGAACAGAAAAGAAAGCCTTATGAATTGTTGTTTTTACTGGGACTATAATTTTAATGGTGTCAGAGAAAAACATTTCAAAATATAAATAAGAAGCTTTGTTATTGTGCCATTTTGATTATTTTTCTTTATAAAAATGCAGATTACGTGACTTCTCTGGGGAGACCTGTTGCTTCTCGGTATGCCAATGGCTTATTTCCACAGTTCTACAGAGCAGAAGATGACAGAGTGTACAATGTAAGTCAGAGTCCCCTCGATGTCCTGTTCCTATGCCATGACACTGATGTCAGGGAGTGGGTTTTTCTGCTTGGCTGAGCTGAGGCCTTATCAGGGCTTATCAGGCTGGGGTTTTTTCCGCTGGTGGTGGAGCGATGAAAGTCATGGCCAAGGAGCTAGGGAAGGAAGCCCTTTACCCCTTAGAGATAAGCGCAGAAAGCACTTGCCCAGAATTAAAAACATTTGCATATCAATACTTTGTTTTGCCATGAAATAAGAGAAAAAGGAAATATGACAGAGATTAGTTGAAACCCACGAGTTAGCTGCCATTATCTGAGAGAAGCACTAGGATTAGAGGTGGAAGAGGAGGGAGGGCAAGTGGCACCCCTGACTGGAGGCCTTTGTTCCAGCAATTCAGCATTTGACTCTCATGTCTACCATCTGTCTAGCTCTGTGCAGACCCTGGCCTACCACATGGAGCTCACAGTCTTTTGGAGAGACATCACATCCTCCTGGGATGTTGGTTCATGCCAATGCACATCCATGTACCACCTGGACTATTGTTTCCTAATGTTAAAAAATTAAATTACTTTTTAAACTAATCGAAGTCCTAAGCAATGGTATCCACAGAATCTTGAAGGTTGGTGTGTTAGGTATATTTTTATCTGAATCACATTAAAATGCATACAGAACTATTAAAAACATTCATTCCTTTACCAATTAAGTCCACATCCTCTGTGGTCTGGCCCCACCCTGGTTCTGTGTTGTCACAGGAGCTGTGAATGTTGGAGAGGTAGTTAGGAATTCTGTCCTGAGAGCCACGAGAAGCTGCCGAGAAGTGATGCTGGAGCTTGAGGAATTGAGCTTGAAGAGACACATGGGAGGGGGAAGGAGAGGTATTTAAAGGAGCCAAAACACAGAAATGGAGAATTGCATAACGTGTTCTGAAAGCACATTTTCCTTAGCATTTTAGGTGTTGTAGTGCTGTTAAAGTTTGACCAAAAAAGTACCAGATCTTTTAAGATTTGATTCATCACAGAATATTTTCTTATTCTTTTCCCATGTCTTCTACTTCTCTACCCCTGAGAGGTCTTACGTGGTTGTGCCTGATCTATATGTAGGGTGGTTTATTTGTGCTTACAAGAAACTGTCTGTGAGTCTCTGTCACCTTTCAGGGATAACCCTTAGAAGTGTTGGTGGCAGCTAAGGGTGATTAGGTGGTCCAGGTACAGGGGAGCCTGGCCTAAGAAAGGAGGAAACAAGGGAAAAGGTTATGAGGATGGGGAAGAGGCTGGAATGGCATCCCTGAGAGGAAGCCAGGCAGATGTATTGGCACATTTAGAAGCATTTTCAGAAATGTGTCTGGCATGTTGTACTTAGGAGAACATTTTAGTGAGACTTTTTTTCCATCTGCCTTTGATGGTCTGTCTTTTCTTCTGCGTAATTTCTTAAAAGTGCCCCTGGGCATTTTTTTTGATAAAGATAATCTGTCACTAGAAAGATAAAATACAACCTGGAAACATTTTTTTTTTTTAAGAGTTCCATATTTTGAATAGATCACATCATCACCTTTTCTTCTATGCAGAATCTTCCAAGGAGTTTTTCATTTGAAAGACTGGAACATGAGGGGTTTGGAACAATTTACAAAATTGTTCTTAATGTATAGTTCTTGATGGCAGCACGGAGGTTCAGATGACTTATTTTGTGTTGTTCTATTGTTTTGTTTTTTATTTTCATTAAGCTGACAGCTAAATCAAAACTGATCTATGAATTTGTGGAGTATTTACAACAAGCTGTAGAGATCTACAAGCAGCGGATGGACTGGCTCACGAGCAGAAGTCGGCAGATTTTTGGTGTCGTCTTGGAACAGTGTGTCACTATAGTGCTGGATTTTGGCGGCATTCTGAAGGGAGAGCTTGATCTGTGCCAAGATGCTCTAATAATGATCCTCCAGGAGCAGGTGGTTCACATAACCAAGTTCAACATCATACAGTGAGTTACCACACAAGGGCACATTCTAGTGAAACTTCATAGTAATTCCCACGTATGTGGAGTTCAGTAGTGTAGGTATAGCATAATTTGCTCTGTAGTGGGGGAGGGTATTATCTTGTAATTACCTAGAATGTATAATTTCTGTAGAAATCCTATAATAAATAAATCCCGAGAAATTGTATCTGCTTTTTACAGGGCATCTTAGTTTTCACATTAAAAGAGATACAGAAAGATACTTTTCTTTGATCTGCAGGAAGGTTACAATAGAAGGATATGGATTATGTTGAATATATATTTAAGGCCAGACATCTCTTTGCTCATTTTAGATTTTAACATGGATAGCGAATTAAAAGGTCACAGATTTAACAGACTGAATTTGAAACTCTAGTTGACCTCCTCTGTAAGTTGACCCCATTAACCAGAACGACAGGTGGCTGGCTTTGTAGAATTTCCTGTATTTCAGAGTTTTCACAATCAATTATTTATGGATTCTTGGCTTCAAGAGGGTTTGGACTTGAGCACTGACTTCTCATCTGAAACAGTGGTTACATGTCTCAGATAAGAAACATCTGAATGCAAGAGAGAGATCTATCTAATTGAGTTTTTATTTAAAAAAGACTTTTTTTTTCTTTACTCTCCAATCATTGTTGAGGAACGAATTTTTCTTTTTTAAGTCAAATGTTTTCAGCTAAATAGAGGATATCTTTGGGAACAATGCCTAATTGTGTTCTATACCAGATGTCTGTTTCTGCCACAAGTATATTATTGAATTAAGTGCTCAAATCTGCAAAGCTTTTGCTTTCATGGAAATGTTTGCTATAATATGTATATCTCTCAGCCTGATCCTCTACTCAGAGAAACCAAGTAGAGGACACAAGTAGGGACACAAGTGTGAGCCAGCTTTGCCCCTGGAGGTTGACTATGAGGGCAAGCAAACTGATTTACCTGTAATTGTCAACCCAGAGTTAAATTCAAATGGCTCTTCTTTTTAAAAATTGGGCTTTGCCATCAGCCATTTCCAAGCTAAACAAAATAACCAGATTTTCTCAGGATTTGAATAGTAATGTTCTACTGAACTCGAAATAATTCCATCTTTGATTTAAAAAAAAAAATAAGTAACTGGCAGGAATCTTTCAGGACAATAAAAAAATGTCATGAAAGAATGAGAAATAAATAAAATTTTAGCATCATCAGACTTCTGGTGATTTGCAAATCCTAATACTGTAAATGCTTATAAATTTGCTATTAATAGAAAACAGTTACATATAATGCCTGCCTTTTTATGAAAATAACTTCTCTTAGTATTTTTAAAGCACTTGTTAATGTTTATATTTTGCAGTTTCTTTTTTAATTTTTTCCCAGAATATTAGGGGGTGTACATGTTTTGTTTGCATACTTTGTTTTTGTACAGACTGAGTCAAAGTTATAAAGTGTGCCGTTTACCACGATAGTTGCACTGTACCCAATGGGTGTGCATTTACCCATCCCCCAAGTTTTGAGATTTCTGTTTCTCATGTAAATAGTGCTTTTCCTAGTCAGTACAGTTTCAGGATGATAACGGTGCTTTGGGAACCTGTCTGAAGCAGCTCATGCGCGGCTTTGGGGGCTGGGAACTGCTTCTTTTCTGTCTCAGTTCAGGAGATGGGTGTGTTGCTCGTGGCTGTGAGATCAAGGGCTGACAACCCCCAGTAGCACTGATCCCCACCCAGTGACTGCTCCCTGTGATTTCTTTCAGGGTTTCTACGGAGCCTGTGAAATGGCAGGAAAAGGCTACTCCTGTGACAGAACAATCCATAGCCACTGCCATCAACTGGGTTGAGAAACTGACTGTTAAGCTGACCATGAGCAGGATTAGCCCCCTGGATGCTCTTCAGGAAGCTGGGAAAGACAAAACTGTAAGTGTGTGTCCATGCCTGGCCACAGGTCATGAAGGTGGCTGCAGACTTAGCTCTTCACACTCTTTATCTTCACACTGCCTTTCAGCTGATCCCACAGAGACCCCATCATCAGCCTTGAAGGCCCTGTAAGTCATAATCCTCTTCACCTATGAATTGCAAACCAGTTGAGACAGAGGTTACAAACCTCAGATGGGGATCAGAGTAGCAGCTTTGGTGATGGCAGAGCTGGACCAACCAAAATGAGACTCCCACATATGTGTCTCCTGAGCCTGGCTCGGCTTCCTCTGTAGGGTCAGTGGGGCCACAGGGAAGAATCTCATTTAGCCTGTGCCAGGAGAGTTGAGTACAGCCCACACCTACTGAGCATGGAGAAAGGACAGGGAGCGGGGCCATAGTTGCACATCTCTGACACCTTCATTCCACTCTCACTCTCCTGCCAGAGATGGATCAATCAATTCATCTCTTATGGGGAGGAGAAAGAGGTTGGGAGACCCCTCATAGAACATCGAGAATGAGGAAATATAGGGTTTCCCAACGTCCGTGTTCTGGATCTTTTCTAGTTCCTCTTCTTCCCAGATGGATCAATCATGTGCTTTTCAAGAGGAGCTGTATCTCAGCTGATGAGTCCATCCATGTGTGAATATTAATGTATTGACATATGCCTTTTGATAGGGACCTTTTGGAAATAAAGCTTTACATGAAAGAAGGAATTAAATTGTTGGTGTTTTATGTCTTTTTCAGCCATAGGGTCTGTGTGTGGCTGTAGTGATGGGACTGCTATGGGCACTGGCAAGTGAGTGTGGAAGTACTCTGGGCAGGTGAGATCCTTGGGTCAGCCTCAACTCTCCAGGGGGGGACAGGTCTGCTTGTTTTTAGATATAGATAATTAATATTTATTTGCTTCCTCCACTCTGGAAGCCTGAGACTTCTGTGGGTTTCAAGCTTTACCTGACAGCATTCAGAAGTCATTTTTGGGGAAAGGCTATGTGCTGGCACCTTGAAAGATAGCCCCCAATGGTCATGGGCCTGTGGTTATCAATACTAAGGGCAATGGTTTGAAATTGGAAACAAACAGTTTTTCCTCCTGAAGCCAAAGGAACAAATGTTTTCCACTCAAGGAGAACCTAATACATGTACAAGCTACTTTGTTCTTTGGCCTTCAAGATTGGTTTAACATATGTAAAATTTCAAGTGTCTGGACATCTTAATAAGTACTCAAGAAAGGGAACATTTCACAGGCTCTTGGATGTGTGAGTGACGCGGCTGTTCTGTTACTTTGTTAACCTAGCTATTGTAGTCATAGTTGACTCTGGCCACCTGATGTGACTGAAGATCTCCCTGTGACCTTGCTTTTCGATTTCCCTTCCCTCTGGTTCATGCTTCTCCTTTTCCTGGGATTCATCCTTTCATCCCTAGCCTGGGAAGTAAGGAATAATTCAGAGAGTCCCAGGGAAGTTCTATAGAAGAGGACAAACCAAAAAAGAAGTTCTTAGACACTGATATCAGAATCAACCTTGGAGAAAGATCGAAAACCTTTTGAAAAGAGACTGTGGGACTACGCCAAGACTGTGAAGCATGCACAGACTGTGGGGTCCCTCCACCTGCAGCCCCTATCTAGGGGCGGTCCCAAGGGGAATTCTAGTAAATGCAATTGTCTCATATGCAAAAAACCCCCCATGTTCCCTGCTTCATGAGGAGTAAAAAAGAGAGAGAGAGCCTGTGTGTGTGTGGTGCTGGGGGCAATGCATTCCCATAAGGGCCTGCTCCTCTGCTCCTATTGTCTTTCCAGTGGTAACCTGCTTTGAGTTAGCAGGGTCCTGAGAGGAGCCGAAAGAGTGGGTATTATCTTGTGTCCAAAGATTAACACACAATTCTGGGTTTGTCCCAGGTCCACACAAGGAGTAGTAAAGGCTGAATGTTGTGCTTGGTTGTGGGGATGGAGGATGCCCAGAGGCCACCAGCCTCCTCCTGGTCTTGGCTTTGTGCCTGTGGTGGGCTAGGAAGACCGAACAGGGAGCAATGATAGAGGCGAGTCCTCGAGTCTGAAATGAGCCCAGCAGAATATGGTGTCTATTTACTTCCTGGCTCTACTAATAGCACTTGAAGAGCACTGTTGATGGATGAATATTGTATTCTGTAAAAAGGAATCTGACTCATGGAAGGACAACTTGGAGGGTATGAGGAACTGTTTAGTGGCCAAAGGGGTTGGCATCCTCAGAGCCCAGGTGGGTGAACCCAGCAGAGGGTTTCTGCTCTTCACTGTTCTCTGGTTCCAGGAGGTATGTCTTTGGGAAGTTAGTAGCTTCCTGGGCCTTAAAAGGAAAGGTGGTGTAGCAGGAGGCCTGCTGGCACAGTACCACAGAACAGGCTGTTTATCTGGAGCGCTGGATCTAAGCTGCCTAAGGAGTCTACCTGAGGGCTTTGCCTCTGCTTCCAGGACAAGACCACCTGCCCAGACGACACCTGCATTTCTGTTTTCATTTCCTCAGTGCCTCATCCATCCACCTGTCAGGCATGCATCTGTCTAGTTTCTTGTTTTTTTCAGTCATACTCACTGGGAGACCAAGTGGATGAATTAAAGACAGACCCACATGATTCCAGAAGGAGCCCTCACTGCTGTGCTCTAAGTCAAAGGCCTGGCACATCAGTCCATGGAACTGGCAGTTCATTTATTTCCATGTAGTGGTTCAGACAGATATCAGATCTTTTTATTTTTGTGTCTCTGATGCCCAATAAGGACTCTGTAAATGTTTGTCGAACATGGAAGAAATGGGAAGAAAATAGTGTTGATATTCTTGAGTCAAATTAATTGCATAGATTTGAATTTTTGGAATTGAAGGGAGGTGGTCTGTGTGGGACCAGGTTTGTAGGACTCTGGATGGGGACAGGGGGCCTGAAGCCTGAAAGGTGAGAAAATTGGCAATGGCCATGGGTGTTAGGAAGGATCTGAGATGTGAATTAGGTCAATACCATGGGGAATGGTTACTACCAATGATGGAGTCAGGAAATCAGAACAAGATGAACCAGGAGAGGGCTCCTGTAGGCATGGGAGGACCTGGAGGTGAGATCCTGCTCAGGTCTGAAGTTGGCCAAAATGTTGCAGTGTTCAAAGTTGTGTGAAGAAAACAATGGTTTTTTTCCTAGAGCCCCCACAGCTGTTCTGATTGACTTTCAATGTTGCTCCTGAAAGAGTGGAGACGGTTATCCTTAGAAGCCTTGGGGGTGAGAGTGAAGGCTTCCGACAAGCTGGAGCAGAGGGCGGTCAGAGTAGAAACAGCCGCTCCTTCTCTGTTTCTTTTTCTACCCCCAAGCAACAGCTGGGAAGATATCAAGGTCTCCTTGGCTGGGCAGAAAGTAACTTACTGGGTGAATCTGCAAAAGCAACAGCCCAGAAAGAATAAGGTATTTTAAGTGAAAACATAAAGGCTCCACCCTACTTTATGTAGTATGAAGTGCAAGAGCGTTTGACTCACTCTAAAGAAGCTGGGTGGAAATCAGTGTTGTTCTATTGAATTTGGTGCAAATCAGCATTTGGTCACAAAGTAAAGCATGTCCCAGGAAATCTGTAGCACAGATAACCAAGAGTTGACTGAAAACACATGCAATCAAGAAGCTGAGCAGGGCAGTGCCTATGGCTCAAAGGAGTAGGGCACTAGCCTCATATATTGGATGTGGTGGGTTCAAACCCAGCCCTGGCCAAAAAGTGCAAAAAAAAAAAAAAAAAAAATCTGTGGACTCCATCCAGACTGCCCACCTTCATAGGCCTTAGTAAAGGAAAGGAGATGGCCACTCACCACTGGCTACAGTAATCTGCAGTTTGATGAAATCTGGAGGGGAAAACATTTCTTCACAAGGATATTTCAGAGTCTTGGGTTATTCCCAGAGCAAAGAAAGCTGAGTTTATATGATGTGTGACAGAGGTGTGGTGGTGTCAGGAGCTGCTGTGATGTCTCCTGTGTGTGTTAGTCTCCTGTTAGACTAACTGGAGATATGTGTCCTCACCTCCCTGCTGGTCTAAAAAAACTGCAGAAAATACTCCATGTCTGTTTCTCTGTCTTGGGCTGTGTGTTGTTTTAGATCCTTATAGCAGGATGAACCTGTCCCCATGCTAAACTTGGGCACTGACTAATACTCCTGGAAAACTCTAGTAAATAACAGTGCTGCTAAATAGAAACCATTTTAATACATCCTATACAAGGTATATATCTCACCAGGAAAAGGATGCAATATACTGCATATGTCAGAAGAATGATATTGGTTGCTTAATAAGTAATCCAGAGTACACTGTTTCTTCCCTTTGTTTTTGTCTAATTCTCAGGTTACTGACTGAAAGACATTTTCAACCTTCCTCATGTTCACCTCCTAATAGGTGCTTTTTACAATCAAGGAGCTGGTTGGTGTTAAAAGATCTGAAAGAGGCCTGTGGGGTGGGTTGTGTCTCGCTGGAGGAGGTCTGTGTTGGTGGTCTGGGCTAAGTCTGTACTATGGCCTTCTCCTACCACCCATCTTGCACCCTGGGCCCCCACCCCACTGGCCCCCTTGGCCATACCTCCTGCCCCATGGACTGCAGGCAGAGCACCCTGACCAACCGGGAACCAACATGAGGCCACCTCTCTCTCGGCCAGGTGCATGGAAGGTCTAGGTTGAGATGTGGACTTTTAAGACTGTGTTTAGCTAACATGGGTTTGGGATTAGGGCGGAGAGAGAGTCATGAATCCCAAAGGAGGGCAAACATCTATATGTCCCCCGCCCCCAAACACAATGTTTGCTGAGTTTCTATCCTGATTATCTGTGGAGACAATCCATCAGGACATTTTTGAGGGAAGATTCAGAAGATACGTATTCCTGGCTCTCCTTGGGTTTTTTCCTTTCTGAGATTTATGTAAATACACACATACCCACATAGTGTATGTCATCTTGTTTAAACTCCATCATGAAGAATAAATTGAATTCTCTCCCTTTTTATGAGTGAAGAAACCACAGTTAAACACTTGCCTGAGGTAACTGAGCTCAGGGGAGGCAACGTAGTGGAAGCACAGTCCTGGGAGGAGCCAGAGCGGTGGGGTTGAGGTTGGAGGGGCAGACACTTATCACAGGGGTGCCCTTCAGTGGGTTTTAAATCTCTCTAAATTAAGCAGGCAGCACTTCTTTGGGACTGTGATGCCTGGGTAAGGTATGCATCTCCCAGAATCACTGGTTTAAGACTGAGGTGTGTGTATGTGGCTCCTGACACAGGGGTTGCTCATTGTTGGGTCTCCCATTCTTCTCATGGCCTGACCTGGTGATGAGAGGCCAGGCCTGGTGGGCGAATCTGGCTCCTGACTAGCTGTGTAAAGTCAGAACCGCCTCACCTCCCCAGGCATGTGATTCCATGGTGAGATGAAGCCAGAGGATAAAGCAGCTGGGAATATGCCCTCCTTTCCACATTCTGCCTCAGACTGAGAAGGGATCAGTTTGCATGGTAGAATTCTGGCACAGCCACAGGAAATGGCTACTAAGCTTCCTGTCCACAGTGGCAGTACCAACACTTCATTCCTGGACTTGAAAATAACTGCTGCAAACCTATATAACGTATTTGTGGGCCCAGAGGAGGCTTCTCTAAACCTGCCAACCATACTCTTCTTATATGATAGCCGAGACTGTAGTCCCTGCCGAGAAGGTCTCACTTGAGTATCTCATTTCCTGACTTGGGTTCTCATGTCCTTATAAAATTCTGAGCAGAGCTGCTATTCCTTGGGCCTGTTTTTTTCCTTTCCTTTTTATTTATTTATTTTTTTCTTTGAAAGAGGCAGTGCAAGGTGAGGGTGTGTCAGGGAGATGAACCATTGGTCCCACTCTTTTGCAGATTGAATCCATTTACTACTTTGTGGTGGGGGATGTTCCTGAGGAATCCAAGCAGCTTCTCCTCCAGGGAGTTTTGCAGATCCCATGTCCAGTCCACACAGTGTCCTTCAATGCCAGAGGAGAAGGCACCATAGCTTTCCTAAAGGAGCTGAGTGCCAAGACCCACAGCAGGTAGGCAGAAAATGTGTGTTGTTGGGATCAACAGTGGGTCTTGGATTCTTTGTGGTCTTTATAACCAATCTGTTGCTGGGTTCTCCTCTCTTTCCAGTAGAGTTTTAGTCTCTGCACTTTTTCTTCTCTATCCTATATTCATTGTGCCTTTTTATTTTCTATAATTCTGATGCCTTGACATCGTGGAGTCTTGCTGACCCAGGAGACATTGCCCTCCCATGGCTAGTCAATTCCTTGAGATATCAAATGACTTACCTGGGGTGCACTTTCATATGCAAACCAACCAATCCAGAGTCCACACTCTCAATCCAGGCTCTCAAAGTCCACTGTCCTCTACCTTTATCATTATTGCCCCCACACTGACATTATTCAAATCAGCCAACCCTAAGCCTTCTTACTTTGCCTGCCTATTCTCCCCGTGGAAACCACCTCTCCCCCTCACTTCTTCTGCCTCCTGGCTGGCTCTGCATGGCATGGCATGCCTCTCCTCTTGAGAACTTTCTTAGTCTGCTTGGGCTGCTCTGACAAATCATCACAGGGTAGTTGGCTTGAAAAACAGATATTTATCAGTTCAAGAGGCTGACAAGTACAATATCAAGGCCAATTTGACTTCTTGTGAGGGCTTTCTTCCTGCTTATGGGCAGCTGTGTTCTCATTGTAGCCTCACTTGGTTGAGGGGTGGGGAGAGAACATGTAAGAGGGAGAGAACTCTGATTTCCCTTGTTCCCTGATGATCTCATTCAACCTTTATTATCCCTTTATAGTCTGTTTCGAAGTACAGTCACATGGGGAAGCAGGGCTTCAGCATAGGATTTTTTTTTTTTTAAAGCAGGGTGCATAATTCAGTCCACAGAAGGAACTGTGGGTAATAAACTATCTTTTCAACAGCAATAGTCTCCTGATCTGTTGGCCTCAACATAACTAAATAATAATAAAACCTACATTTTAAACCATACACCTCTTCCCCCACTTGGTGAGTGTGTGTATGGTGCCTGTAAAACATATATCCCTTCCCAGCTTGGTATATATGTTTGTGTGTAAGTTGAGGTTCCTGTGGAGAGACAGCTACCTTTGTGGTTACAAGGAGCTTACGAAGTCCTTTCCTAAATTAGCCTCTTTTCTAATCTGGAGAACAGATTAGAGAGTGGAAAGTCCCAGACACCAAAGGCCTTGGCACTCAGGGCACGGGGCCTGCCAGGAAACTCTTCAACCAGGAGGTAGCAGGGGAAGGACACTGGCCATTTCTGCTCTGGCCTAGGTTCCTATAGAAGGCAGGGACAACCAGGCTCAGAGTCCACTGACCTTAGAAGGGGCTGTTGGAACAGACTTGTTCATTGCCATCAAGTCACTATTGTAGTCTTACCTGACATCCTTTAAAAATACAACTGAGGCTCTGCATAGCACAGATGAGGCTCCCAGACCTCTCCCATCATTTGTTTGTCCACCTGTCCATCCCAAGCAAGGCTTTAGGATTTTCTTTGAATTAAGTGTGAGGCAACAGGAGAGGTAGAAGACTTGAAGAGCTAGGAGAGCATCACTCAAGACCTCTACCAATCTCAAAGAAATGTTCTGCTATTACTAACTTTTTGGATTCTATTTAAGGGGCTTCAAGGGTGTGACTAGCCATCCATCCTGTGCACTACACCAGTGCTTGTCAAGCTTTTATGAGTCCCCCAAGAATCTTGTTACCATGCATGTGCAGGTCCAGGCAGGGGCTGGGAATGTGTGTCCTAGCCAGCTCCCAGGTGCTGCCCAGCTGCTCCTTGGACCATACCTTGAGATGGCAGCCCCACCAAACTCACCCATGTAGGAATTCATTAGTGCTTAATCTTCGCTCCTGAGGAAGTACGTGTTTGTTGAGTTAAGACTGACTGAGGCCTGTCAGCAACAGGCAAATTAGCCAAAGCTACCGATGTCAGAGCTTGTGACATGGAACCCATGGAGCTGGTTGGCACTGTTGGCGCCCTTCATTAAATCCCTGGTTTGCCAAAACTGTGTTGATATGCTGGAATCCTGGGAAGAAAAGAATGAATATATCCATAGATTATCATTTTCCCAGGATTAAGAAATACCACTTGGTTGAGCTAATTAACTGCTAATGGAAAGACAGGTTATCAGTTAAAATCTCAAACCATTCACAATTCTTGGTGCTCTTCTGCCGCCCTATCTTTTGGTTGTGGGAATTGACACAGTACAAGGGAAAAGAGTGAATACATCTGGGATTAAGACACTCAGCACAACAGGAGAGCAAATCCTTAGCCCCAGGAGAATGAGCAGGACGCGCAGTCACCTCTGTGCCAGCCTAATGTCAACTGTCTCTTCATGTTTCAGGTTCCACGCATTTGCTGAGAGAACAGAGTGCGTAGCACTTTCTGCGTTCTTCCCAAAAGATGGTGACAATGCGACAACTTGGAATTCAAGGAAACTGAAAGGAAAACTGCCTCCAGGTACCTGGAATCCAAAAGAAGCAGTGCGGCTTTTACTCTTAGTAACTTCAGATGATCTGACTCATTAGGAATAAAGTACTAGGCCGGGACCACTCTGTCTTTTTAATTGTTAATGTGGTACAAAAGCAAAGTTAATGCATATTAATGGTGAATTTCTCAGCCTAGGAAGCAGGCATAAGTTTATTACCCAGGGAAATGGCCTAATGATGTGTTTACTAACTTGAGAACCTTCTGGAGATGTCGCCTCAGGCATGTGGATGCTCTGTGAGTTTTTGGCAAGGTAGAGCTGCTATGCTCCACAGGTGAGCTGGGAGGCGTCAGTGAGGGCATCTGTGGTTCTTGGGGACTTTCTGCCGTCCACCCTATGATGAAAGCAGTACTTGCAGATACAGCGGGTGGGCCTGACCTGCCCCTTGTGAGGATGCCGGCTGCACAGCAATCTTTATGGAGACTGAGTGAACCTCCCCTTTGATTCCAGGAATGTGATCAGAGAGCTTAAGGAGCACAGGGAATGAAGTCACAAAATCAGCGAGAAATCAGGCTGTGATTTAGGAAAACAGCAGAAGGTTGCTCAGAAAGCCAAGAGATGGGAGTTTCTTTGGGGCTGATGAAATTGCAAAGTGCCAAAGATGCTGAATAAAAACCTTTGAGAAAAGGAGGGAAGGGGGCTCGTGTTGGATCCTTGGATGATGTGACATAGCTGGTGGTCAGAAGTTTGGGAAAGCCTACCCCCACCTGCATACGCTTTAGTTGTCAAACAGATTTCTAGCTTCATTATAAGGCAAGGACTACTCTTTGGAGATAGGGGAGGACCTGCAGCACAGAGCTGCTTGAAAGATTCCCCTGTGTCCATAAATGTGTTACAATGGTCCCCAAGAGAAGGGCACGGGGACTATAAGTAGGAGACAGTGGCATTGCCAGGCTGGAATGTTGGATGATAAAAGCAGGGGCTGGGTCACAAGCCTATTCCTGACACAGGCTTTGTAGGTTCAAATTCTTAGCTCCCCAAAGCAGAGCAGGGGAGAGGCTCCAGTGGAGCTCATTGGAGGCCACTACTTCTGGTTGCTGACACCTTTGTTCTGGTCATGAAGTGGACACCTCCAGAGAATTTGAGAAAATACCAGTTGATAAGCAAGCTTAATGCTGATCTAAGAAAAAATTAGCTCCAGATGTATGCCATGCCTAGTCGAAGTAATTTAGAAGATTCAGCCTAGTGAGCAATGACTGAATCAGGGCAAAGAACAGGAGACGTCACCAACTAGCTCCCCAAGGTGTAGCCATTTCCATAAGTGCGGCTTAATTTTGGTCTCTGTATTCCTTGGCCACTTAGTAATAAGGGGAAACATAAACTGGATAGCTTACATTTTGAACAACTACCATCTTCCCAGCCCTGTGATGCATACAAATTAAATTATGGCTAAAAACATTTTTCTTAGAATAAAATGCTCAGTGTGGCTTCCCTTTCTAAATCACATGTTCTGAATTTGAGGGGAGAGTCCCAAATCCTAAATATGTGATCATATCTCCTTTACCCATCACAATGTCCCAGAAATGCCAACATTTCAAAGCCTACCTCTCCCACGCAAAAACTGCTAGAGATCTTGACAGACTATTTTGGTTTGGAAAATGTGTGATTTCCAACCTCACCTGGGCCTCCGGGGAAGTTTTCTGACTTTTACCTGGTTGCTTCTCTTTCCCCATTGGTACAGCAACTGTCTCAAGCATTTATCATTTTCCCTCTCCTTAGGATGCTCTCTAGGTTGGGGGTTATGCCTCCTCAGATTATTTTGCCTTTTCTTGCACAGAAAATAGAGGCTGTCTAGTTAAGGGGCTTGAGAATCATAGCTCAGAGAACTTACCTGGATTGCTTTTTCTAGAGGGGAGGAAGGCTGCGTCCTCACATGGGAGAAGAGATGGAAAGGCACAAAAGGGTAAACTGGGCACTCCCTTCAACCTCTTTTATAAGAGGCAGAGCCCTCATGACTTAACCATTTCTCCTATAGACCATATTTTGTTTATCCATTCACCTTTGGCTATTATAAATAATATTATGAACAAGGTGTAGAACTATCTCTTTGAGACTCTGCTTTCCATTCTTTTGGGCCTAAACCCAGAGTAGAATTTCTGGATCGTATATGGTGATCCTAGTTTTAACGCCATACTGTTCTCCATAGTGGCTGTGCTGTCTTACCTTTCTACCAACAGTGCACAATTGTTCCATGTCCTATATTTTTGATAGTTGCTATCCTAATGGGTATGAGGTGGTATATCATTGTGGTTTTAATTTACATTTCTCTAATGATAAGTGATTTGGAGCATCTTTTCATGTGCTTGTTGAAACAAATAACATTTTGATGCAGCTTTTAAAAATTACTTAAGATCTTTTTTAACAGGGTCATGGGTGCTTGCATTTTGCTGACTTTTTTTTTTTTTTTGTGAGACCGAGTCTCACTCAGCTGCCCTGAGTAGAGTGCCATGGCATCCATCGTAGCTCACAATAACTTCAAACTCTGGACTCAAGCGATCCTCTTGCCTCAGCCTCCCAAGTAGCTGGGACTACAGGCAGCTGCCATAATGCTTAGCTAGTTTTTCTATTTTTGGTAGAGATGGAGTCTCACTTTGCTCAGGCTGATCTCGAACTCCTGAGCTCAGGCAATCCACCCTCCTCAGCCTCTCAAAGTGCTTGTATTATAGGCGTGAGCCATCATACTTGGCCCCAGTTTGTTGACTTTTTTGAAAAAGTCAAGTTGTA